CATTATAGGATACACCCCGTTACAGCCTATACTCGCTATGCACGTTTACAGTATCATAGATGTTGTGGGAAAACTGACAATAGTTGTATTGCAATATTTACTTTGTGACTGAAGGCAATGCTAAACTATATTGGGATTTTCTCGGGGGGGGGGGGGGGGGGGGAGGAAGGGTGTCATTGTGGATTACTAAATTAATAATTTCATTTACATTCTCCCAACTTCTTACTTTAAAGTTTCGAGTGGCCAAACTCATCTCTCATCTTCCTTCAATAACTGTGGTCCATGTGGAAGGGTGATGATGACAAAAAAAAAAATAATTCTTCTTAGCACACACTCATTACAGGCTGGAAGTGTGCCATAAAATCCACTTTTACCTGAGAATTCACAAGCAATCACAGGCCAGATTTTAATTAGTCAGCAATCAGTGCCAAGGTCCCAATCAATAAACCAGATTTTTGGTTAGGTATATATCTTGAGACATGTCATATAGTAGGTCACAAAAGGTTAAACATTACAAATAACGGTTTGGAAATTTAGGAATAGACCGTCAGATAATTATTTTTTGAAACTTGCAGAGGATTAAATATATTAAATTTCAAGTTACATTTCTAGCTGCGAAGCTTAGCTCATTCGTTATCGGAAATTGAAAGTGTGGTATCATGTTTGTTTCCTTTTAAGGGACAGGATGTACCCCTTCCACAGTATGGTTATCCCCTTGGTTTGTTCATTGGATTAAAGAATGAGCTTTGTCCTTCTCAGACTATCTCAAAAGAATGCTGTTTATTTTTCCAAAGTTCAAACTTGACAAACAGAAACAAGAGGCATTTTAGAACTGCGTCATTCGTTCTTTACTATCTGGAAGAGGTCGAAGTGCAAGCACTGTAGTCATTTACTATGACAGAGAAATCAGAGATGGGTGTGGTATCATCCTGCTCTTAAACATATCATTGAATGACTTCCCTTGGGGAATCAGCAAACCATTATCTCAAAACAGTGGACTGGGTCATGAGAGAAGAGGCCACTCATAGAATATTCTACCCAATTACTATCACAGCACAGCAATGATAAATGGAAGCCTTGACAGCCAATTTGCTCTGTTGCACGGATAGAAAATGAACAAGACTGTTGCTTCTGACTCAGGGATGTTTGAGTGACTCACCTCTGGCACTTAGAACACATCCACGATCCACGTAGCCTGCACATCCCGGGACACTATAGGCAATTTAGCGTTGCCAGTCAATCTAACCAGTACACCTTTGGACTGTGAGAAGAAATCATAGCACCCAGAGGAAACCCACACAGACATGGGGAGAATGTGCAAACTCCACACAGACAGTTGCCCGAGGCTGGAATCGCACCCGGGTCCCCTGGCACAGTGAGGCAGCAGTGTTATCCACTAAGCCACCATGCCACAAACAAAAATAGAACAGCAACATTTGCTAGAAATCAGATTACACTGCAACTGGAGTACACTTGGAGCTACCAAAAGGCAGGATCAGTCAAAAAAACATCCATCTGTAGTATACAAGATTCTAGCTGCAACTTCTAGCTGCAATGTTGTATTCCTCTGGCCATGATATGGGAGAAAAAAAGATAAGGTTCCAATCCATAACATAATTAAATTTGACATTACGTTTGAGAGAGAGAAAGGAGAGTGTCAAATCAGGATTCAAATTTAAGGAAAGCAAGCTTCAAAGGGCAGCCTTGCGGTTCTCAGAGCTTCTTGCATGGCAACTACTGGCACAAAACCATAACCACAAATGTTCAGCTGATGAGAACTCAACATTTAGATGTGATAACATTTGCAAACTGTAGGCAGGGGTCATGTGATCAGATATCATTAGTGTAGAAATCACGTGATCAAACCCTGTCTATGGAATACTCTTCCTCAGAGAGGAAAGGAAGCAGGGTTGTTGAATATTTTTTAAGGCTAGGTATAATAGATTTTTGATTGATTTGGGTGAAATGGTGTGAGAGTACAGGGAAAGTGGAGTTTGAGGCCACAATCAGATGTGCCATAATGTTAATAAACGGCAGGGTAGGCTCATAATTCATTACATTTGTATGTTCATAAATGGTCCGATGTGAAAGAACAACACCTTAAAGATTTCTATCAGGTCACTGCTTCAATTTAACAGTGTTGGTGAAACATCCTTAATGGCTCAAATTATTCTTCACAACTATAATACCGTCATCTATGATTCCATCCTGAGGATTACATTAATTGATTACAGTTGTCCATAGTCATGCAGATTGTACCTGGTGCAAAAAGAACAGCCATACTGTGAAACCAATGCTTTCATTGCATACTTAGTGATAATTTTACTGTAAGTCATTAACTGCTTCACAGATAAGAGATGACACAATGGTTCAAATTTATTTGATAAACTCTGAAGAAACAGAAGCGTGCTTAATGACAAGCACAGTGACTGTGCCATGGATGTTATAGAAATCATAATTTATGTTTAATATTAAAACTTCCCCTACCTTTTTCAGTCATCCATGCTGTGCAAAATGCTAGTCAGCAATTCATTGAGTTAAGTCCCAAAGCAGCAGATTGAAACGCAAAATGTAAATCAACTCCAGGTTACCACTGGCAAATATTGTGCAGATCAGTGCTGATCTGACCAGATACAGGACACACAGGAAATACTCTACATTAATTCTCAGTTTTCTTCAATTTGATTCAATGACTTGAAATCAACTTTAAGCTTACTTGACTATATCTAAATGAATACATTGTGCGTTTGCAACAGCACTACACAAACCACTCAAAGACTTGTTTCACATTTGGCTCTGTTGGCGTTTAGAATTTCGTTTAATGTTTCCTGCCATGAGGTACAAAGAATTATGTCAATGGAATCTACAATGCATTAAATAAATTATTGATTTTATTTTGGCCTTCACAAATCTGTATAAATGTATTTCTTTGAAATGTGGAAGGATACCTCAAATTGGATCACTGGCTCCTTTCCTCACTTTCTTCTGATCAAGATAATAAAATTTTATCTTACACTATGATTGTCAATAAACAGATCATTGTTAAACTGATCACAATTTGCTTGTACTGTTCAGGTCAATCTGAATTTCTCACATTTTTGCTAAGTGTTATCCACCCCAATGTCCTGGGATTGTTCAGATCAATTTGACTCAATTTATTTTCATTATTTTGCAAATTAGCTCTTATGCCCACTGATACAGTTAGAACACACTTCTCAGGGATTTTGAAAATCTTGTTCAATACGATAGGGGGGGGGGATTAGTGATTGTATTAATTACTGTTTCAGTTACAGACAGTAAATTGAGGCACATGGACAATTTAAAAAAGGCAAAAGGCATCAAGGGGAGTACCACAAAGATCACATTTTACTAAGCTGACTTTTTCCTCCCATTAGGAACCTCGTCAGTGCCGGAACAGGTAATACCGAACCATGCTAATGGCACCTAGTGGTAGCTAACAGACACTGTAACCATTTCTTAGGTGACTGAGCAGACCACTAACTGCTAGGCAAGAGGAATTATATAAACACCTTTTACTCTTCCATGTGCTGGACTTTTTTTCCAAGTAAGGAATTGGTTTATTAAGATGCTAGGCAATCTTCCAACGCCAAGAGGCAAGCCAGGGATGCAAGATTTTAAGACGGTTTGGAGCATCTTAACTGCACTGTAGATGTGGTAATTACAGGTATGGCTCTCATAGAAGAGTGGGGGGCAGGGTTGGATAGGTAAACAGATGCTTAGGTAGGGAATCTGAACATGACCGCCGAACTAGATGGATAAGAGATAGGAAAACAAAGAAAAGACACTTCCTAAGGGGTTAATAATCAAGAAAAACCAAGCATTAAGAACACAGATATCAAAAGCTCCAAGGAGGGAGGACCAGGATTCAAATCAAAGAAGAAAAGTTACACGATGGCAAAAACCTTAATTATGCAAATTACTGTACCACTGATGAAAATTAACAAACATCAGCGATTATAAACAATGCTTAGAGCTCATATCAACATGCTTGGCTGCTTCTGGTGGCTTTCCCCATTAAAATGAACAATCCAAGACAGGAAAGAAAATGCGTCCTGAACAAGACCCAGATGCCTGGGCAATAAATGTGGCCTCTTGTCCTCATCACATTATGCCCCTGAGATTAGACTTGAAGTCATTAAATCCTCCCTACACAGCAATCTGATTGTGTACTTGATGGTAGTGAGTATGATCAGAATGACTTAAGCATTGCGCTACCACACTACAGGTGGCATCCTGTTACTCTGTACTGCCATCTGTGAAACCACCAGAATAAAAACAAAAACAAACCAAGTTTCACCCGGTTATGTACTTTTGAACAAACAGAAAAGCAGAAATGACAGCGTGTGACACAATTGTCCAAATCCCTATGGACAGGTGGGAGAAAACTTCACTGTATACACAGACAGGAGCAGCAGAAACTTTTCACCAATTTTAAGGAAGGTAACTTTTCTTTAAAAGAATATCATAAAAGGTGGCAATTATTCATCAATACTACAGTAACTATACTGACGTTTTGATTTTTTTTCTCCACAAGATGCTCTGAGTGCCTTCTTGCTACACCTTGTGTCGCACAGGAAGCTTCATTGTAACATACTTTACAATATAAAGCAATTCTTTTACCCAAGCCCAATAAGTAGATACAATATTAAACCCATTAGAGACAAGGGTGATGAAATTAGTATTCAGTAATTACACAGAATTCACCTCACTGAGTCAGCAACCCAATTTACACCACAACAAATTCTCTTTAGCAAATAAATTTGAAACGAATTGCAGCCACCATGTAAAACAGACAGCCATCAAAGGTCAATTTTACCTACAAATCTTGAAACTACAAGTCCATTCAGACACCTACATTCAACTCTAAGGAGTGTAGGAGTGAATTCAATAAGTTCACGTGGAGCAAATGTTAGCATGATGATTATGTTCTGTTTTGTTGATATGAAATAATATTTACTACAAGGGCCAGTGACATCCGAGTGCAAAACATCAATCCTGTCAAGTTTTATTTCTAATTAATTGGCTGTTCAATTTTTGATCATTTCTGAAGTATACACATTAAGCAGAAAAATGTACTGGATATTACTTGGTTGGAACAACGGAAACAGCTATTCATTTATTCAACCAAAAAAAAGTTATCTGCATTGGGGTATAAACACATTTGAGTCAAATGAAGGAGCTCTTCGGCTGGAGTTTACTGGTTAACATCTGTCTCCTCCTCCTGTTTGAGTGAGAAGCAACGTTCCTCATTGTTTTGAAGTGGAAAATAATAAGCTATTGATGAGAGAAAATTGTTAAACATGTTGACAAACCTCTGATGGCTTCTTCTCTTCCTGCCTTGTCCAGGGGTGCTTTGTGTTTGCTGTCTTAGAACTTCGACACCATAATGTTATGTGACCTTGGGAAAGGAGATCAAGAGTTACTCTGCTGATGACAATGAATGGGAATTATACACATTAAGAGGACACTATTGGATAGTGAGATAAGTAAATGGCAACCAGCTGATTTAGAAGGCGCAGTAAATCTCTGGTAAAAGCCAACGCTCAACTGAAAAAAAACTAACAGATTCACTGGGATCTTAGAGATTGTTTACTAAATAAGCAATTATACATAAACTGAACTATGACAGCAACTGAGAACACTTTCACTGAGAACGGGATTATGTCTCTTTTCACAGTTTCCCTCTAATTTTCTGGCCAATAGAATAGGCTGGAGAACTATTTCAAGACTTCTGACAAGATGGTCCATAATTCATCATGGGGACACGAGGGACAGTCCATTTTTTCCCTCTTCTTGTCAAAGAAAAACTCAGCCTCAGGTGAGACCTTTCTCCAATAGTATAACAGGAATTAGCAGTCAAATGTTGAGGAGTCTCTTCAGTCTCTCATGGAGAACAGAGGAATGCTAACTTTATGAATATGTGCATCAGTGTTGAACTGCCTTCAACTGGAATACCATTTTGTAATAAAGTACTTCTTGTTAAACCATCACTTTGTGCTTCGATGTTAAATACTAAGGATTGGATTTAATGTCGAGCGAGCAGATTGAAACACAGGTGTACCTTCCAGACCTGTGGAGTCCTCAGGTCCAGCAGTGATTAATGCCCAAAGGGATGTTAATTAACTCGAGACAGGACTTCTGCTCCCATTGGTGAGGAGGGCAAGCCTCAAGAAGTTCTTATTTGGTCCCAGCACATGGGGAAGTGGTAACCACTGCCATAACTGCTTCCAGTTCCCAACAACATGCACCACTACAGCAAGAGGGGAGGTAAATGACAGCCGGAGCGGGCAGCCATGATCAGGAACTGGGGTGAGGTGGTGAGGGATGAAACGTGAGAATGCATATCATTTAGGGGCACCCATAAATGAGGCTGCCCTGCCACCTTCCCACCGAAGCCCAAACAGTGCAATCTGCCATGTTGCTGACCCATTGCTGGCCTCAGCCCACCCCAGTGAAATAGTGGTGGAGACAGGAATTAGCCCTTCAGTATCTAATTAAATGGCACAAGTGCAGGCAAGTCAGCCAATGCCTTCCTCGCTGCTTGCGAAACCAAAAAAGAGTGGCAGGTCAAGGGCAGGAAACGACGTTCGTGGCATTCGCCCGCTCTCCCCTCAACTACAAACCCTTCCTTAGTCACGTGTAAAAGTCTATGCTAGGTATTTAAAGATAAAAATGGCATTACAGCTCGATTTATCCCAAGAAAGGCTGTGTTAATCATCAAATATTTCCTCAGAATTGAATCCATCTCTTGTACAGCACAGGTCATGTTATCAACAGTGCAAACTGAATCATTCTCACTATTCATCGACTGTTAGTAATTTCTGTCAGATTTTCAATACACATTTGCAAGTTTCCACATTCACTTGCTATAGTCTTGCTACCTGGGAATATGGACTTCAAAACAGATTTGAAATTGCTTGGACCATGAGTCCGTGAGAAAAATTCTCCATGCCAATTCACTGTTTCCAAAAAGGGATTTCAAGTCCCCTGATTGAGGCTCTTACTGTCAGTGGTATCCGAGTCCTCACTGCTGGTGGAGAACTTCCTCCGTTTCATTATTTCATTATCCATCTGGAGATCTGCAATAATTACAAACAACCTTCATCAATTCCAGTGAAGTTGACAAGATGTTACCGAAATAACTGTTTTGGTTTAAAACAAACAGAAAAACAATTTATACAGTACTTTGCACATGATGAAATATAACACTGTGTGCCAAAAGGGAACGTTAGGTCAGATGACCAAAAACTAGGTCAAAGAGGTTAGTTTTTAAGGAGTCCTGTAAGGAGGAAAGCAAGTGGAGGAAGGGAATTCCAGAGCTAAGGTCCTAGACATCTGAGGGTTTGGCCACCAATGGCCGAATGATTAAAATCAGGGATGCACGTAACACTAGAATCAGGAAAACCCAACTAGCTTGGAGGCTGGTGGAGGCTAGAGAGGATTACAGAAATAGGAGAGGCTGAGAATTTTAAAATCCAAACATTTTTTGACTACGAGCCAACGTAGGTCAGGGCGAATGGGACTCTCCTTTTATAAAGGATTATGATGGATCCACGGTATAGAAACAGGCTATACTCAACCAGCCCACCCTATTTTTTTGTTGCACGCGAGCCTCCTCCCTTATTATTCACATAAACCTATTAACTCTCTTCTCCTTCAAATATTCATCTGTCTTCTCCTTAAATGCATGAATGTCACTCACATTAACCAGTCCCTGTGGTGGCAAGCTTGACATTCTGACAACTCTTTGCTAAAGAGATTTCATCTGAATTCCCTACTGAATTTCTTGGTGACTGTCTTATATAGATGTTCTCTACTTCTGTTATTTCCCATTTTTCCCACAACAGCACGAAGTAGACACAGCAGAGGGAGGGTGGGAAGCATGAGAAAAATGGAGGACGGAGGTCATACTCAATATCAAATCCTAGAGGCTGTTAAGTGCCTCAGCAGAAAATGAGGTACTGTTTCTCCAGCTTGCATTGTGCTTTGTTGGAACATTGCAACAGGCCAAGGATGGAAACGTTAGCATGGGAGCAAGATCACTTATTGATATAGCAAGCAACTGCAAGGTCAGAGGGTTTCCTATGGGCAGAGTGGAGGTATACCACAAAGTGTTCACCCAGTCTGTGTGTGGTCTCGCCAATGTAAATGGGACAACGATGTGAGTAGTGAATACAGTAGATTGGATCCTGCTGAGATTCTCCAGCACTTTGTTCCTTTTTCGTAGAATCACAGAATCTCTACAGTGTGGAAACATGCCCTACAGCCCAACATGTCCACACCGCCCCTCGAAGCATCTCTCATAACCCACTTAACCTAAACAATCCTGAGCACTGTGGGCAATTTAACATGGCCAATCCACCTAACCTGCACATCTTTTGACTGTGGGAGGAAACCAGAGCACCAAGAAGAAACCCATGCAGACACTGGGAAAATGAGTTAACTCCACACAGGCAGACACCCGAGGGTGGAATTGAACCCGGGTCCCTGGTGCTGTGAAGCAGCAGTGCTAACCACTGAGTCACCGTGCTGCCCAGATTTCCAGATTAATCATCCAGATTATTTCAGATTTCCAGCATCTGCACTATTTTGCTTTTATTTTGTTGGAGGAGAATGTTGTGGTCAACAGCGTCAAAGTCTCCGAACAAGTTGAGAAGAACAGGGATAGATAGTGTATCTTTATCACAGTCACATAGGATTGTCATTTGTGTCTTTGATGAGAGCCCTTTTTGTTACAGTAGGAGGGGCAGAATCCTGACTGGAAAGATTCAACAAAGAGATAAGGGAGGAATTGATGTGAAAGTCAACATATTCAAGGACAGAAACCACCAGACTGAAATACGATTGTGTTCTTGTTCAGTGGAAACATGTAATCTACAGGCATACAACAGATATGTCATACTATTAATGCAAAATAAATATCCCAAGGTACTTCTCAGAATCCAGATCTGCTAAAAATTGATGCTAAGTCAAAGATATTAAGAGAGGTAACAAAACAGCTTATCAAAGTGTGGCCTTTGAAGCTGAGGATGATGGACAGTGTTAGGTAAAGGAGTCCAGAACATGGGGTCTTGACAGCTCAAGTGATGATTATCATGGTGATGGAGGAAGATAGAATGCACATAAGGCCAGAGTCAGAGAAATGGAGAGTTGAAGAGGTTGAGCATAGAGAACTAAGGACAAGTGTGTGAATATTAAATTGAGAAACCGAGGTTCCTAGAGGTCAGTAAGAATAGCTGACGGAGAATAAGCCTGATGCAAAATAGAGGACAAACAGAAGAATTTTGGCTGAATTTTACATAGGATGACAGGCCAATTAGGTGAGTCTGAAGGCAGCAAAAATGTGCGTGAGGGTTTCAGCAGCAGCTGTCTGGTCACAGGCAAGACTGAAGATATGCAATATCATGGACCTGAAATAATCAGTCCTCATGAAGTAGAGGTTAGAATTTCAGATGATAAAATAGAGCATTGTGACTGTAAACAAACAGTTTACTTCAATCTGAGACCATAGCCATAGATGGGATGGAACAAAGGTTGCGATGGGTTCTGGAAACAATCAGTTCTTCCCATTCATGACTGGTGAAATGACAGCTCATCCCAAGGCTTGTGCTCGCAGAAACAACAGCCAGAAAGCTTCAAACCATTTTTTGAGCAAACCAGGAAGCAGATCTTTCTTGGGAGTTGTCATGAGGCCAGCAATTTTGTGCTTGATGGAAAAATAAATCCAGGGGCCACTACAATAGTGATACTTCTATGAAACTACCATTTCTCAGGACAGCAGCACATTCTATGTATCTGGTTTATTCCTTCAAACTTTCATGCAAATACCAAAGCAGCATTCTAGAGAAACGAACAGTTTGCCACAGGCTGACAACGCTCAGTATGCAGTTGGTCCTCCCAAGAATCAACCTGGCATGACAGATGGACCACCTCAATGTCTCCTGCATGATGAGGTATATGGTATAACATTAGCTCACTGTATCACCTTGCAGCATTAATAACCTTTCTTTACACTTTGTCTTTGACATAATAAAAGTCACAAAGTGCTTGACAGGGACAAAGCATGATGCGCACAAAACATACGATGGCATCGATCACTCTGGAATCAGTTGTGACAACATTTATCTTGTGCACTGAGATACGTATTGACAAAAGATAGAAGGCACTCGTCTCTGTGCTCATGCAATTATGGAGATTGCCAATCCTTGCAAATGTAGGTAGAGATGGAGATTCGAGATGCTATGAAGTCATTTAGTGCATTGAAGGACTGTTCATTTGTCCACTAAGGAGTCCTCCAAGAATGGGTTCTTCTTAAGATCTACTGTTATTTTCACAAAACGAGAAAGGCAAAGTTGTGCATGACACATCCAAAAGCAGCCGCAGAAGACACTCAAAAAGAAGCCAATTGCCAAGTTCCTCCTAATGTGTCAAAGCAATCGGAGCTCCCCTCTAAATTCCCAAAGGGGCATTAGTGTCCTGAGATGTAATGAGAACTCTGATAGAAGAATGAACTTGCTTGAGGTCCTCCTCAGCTGCTCTTTTTGTCAACTGCAGTTGGGTCATAGCTAAGGTGTCAGGAGTTTCACTTTGTCACCTACAACCCATCTAATCAAATGGTAATTGCTTATGAAGTACTCCGGGAAATCACGAATTCCTGATGAAAGGGCTCTTGTGGTGTAGTGATAGTGTCCCTACCTCTGAGCAAGAACGCCTAGGTTTAAGACCCACCTGCTCTGGAGATGTGAAATCTCTCTGAGTAGGTTAATTAGAAAATGTCTAGAATTTCTGAGGAGGGCTCTTGTGGTGCAGTGGTAGTTTTCCTCTTTGAGCCAGGATGCCTTGGTTCAAGTCTCACTTGCTTCAGAGGTGTCTCACGCCACATCTGAACAGGCTGATGAAAAATATCTAGAATTCTTGAGGGCTAAAGCTACTTGGCAACCTTTAGCATCAACATGAGGGAAACTGCTTAACAACTAGTCAATAACAATCTGGGCATTGATATGTCTCTCTACATTAAGAAGATCAAGGATGTTAATTGTTGGAATTTGCAATGCTGTATGTCATCTATTGAATTGTATGCGTTGAAGAACAGATAACATGGTAAAAAAGGAATATCTTTGCACACTGCTTCCAATGATTGCTGTCATGCCAAACTGGATAAACTCTTTAACTCTCCTAAAAATATGTACGTGACAAATGCCCAGCTAAGTGGCAACCCAGCTGATATTATACCGATCTCTTTTGATTCACAAGCCAAGTGACCCAAAAAAAATTCAGAAGTTGTGAAAAAGGTGTCCAGGCAAACGGTACTGGTTACAACCTTTCATGCCGATATTGGCTCACAAGCTAGAAGAGATAAAATCAGTTACTTTCAGGTAAAATGGAGCAAAGAAACTCCGTAATTTCTTTTGATAATTAGGTAATCGCTCTTCAAAACTTCCCCAGTCTCCAAATCCAAAACTTCTGTGAGGGCTAACAAAAGGCAGGCCTCATTTTATCTAATTTTAAGTTAGCTCTGGTACATTCTCAGCCAAGTAAGTTGTGGTTAATTCTACATCTCTTTGTAACGAGCCTCACAGGATACTTGGGCATCAACTCGACAGTGTGAACACGAGAGGATGGAAACCCAGCGTAAATGGGTCCTGCCAAATATTCGAAGCCTTATCACTCTAAGTGTGCCATGCCATCAAGCTAGCCTGTAAGAATTCCATGAAAATACCTCAGGTGACTTTAACACCAATTTTCTGTTATGCCTCTGTTTAATAGCTGATGACATGCCATAAACCCTACTTCGTACATTATCTCCATCACCATCTCTGCCCAATATCTCAACTCAAAAATCTTTATTGATGATAACTGCAGACAAATTCTTGATGCATTCATTGACCGTTCTGTCATTTTAACAATTAAACTGTGTTTGAGTAGCTCAATTACTATGGCAATGTCATGCAAATGTATTAATAATTCAACCACTTTTATCACCAACAATAACATCTCTCTCTAATTGCCACATGCGCTCCACTAAACTTCTCAGTTGCTTCCCTCAAATTATCTGTTCAACTTCTGCTCAACACCTTGT